AAAAAAATTGCTCACTTTCCCTCTCACAATCTTTGACTCTCTCTCTCTGGTGAGTGCACACACCTTAAGACAAAAACCTCAAAAATAAAAAAGCTACACAGGTAGCAAACTGACACCAGGGCACAGAGGTGACAAGAGCTAAGGAGGGAGTGTCAGAATGTCTGATGCTCAGGGTTCAGGCAAGCATTCAAAGAATTTATATTTCCAAGGTCTAAAGAGCACTGTTGAGTCAGGGCTTGGGTAATTTAGAAAACAGCACTTTTTTCTTTTTTACTAACTTGCTATAGGATATGTGCGTTCATCAGAGAGAGGCACAGAGAATGGGAAAGCGAGAAAGCACCTTCTCGGGGGGACAGTCACGCCGCAATCCCTTCTCCTCCTGAGATTTTGGGCATGCACAAATGCGTCCCGTGTGCCTCTCCAGCTGCAAGGTGGACTCGAACTGCACAGCTGGCCATGTGGGATCCAGCCGCCGCCTCCACCACATCACTGGCTGGCCCAGAAAACAGCACTAAATTGATGGGGGACCTGGGGCTTAAGAAGAAAAGAATCTGAGTTTTCGAATGATCCAGGAAATGAAAAGGGACCGTTCATCTTAGATTAAAGACAAAACGCAAAGGGTGAACTAGAAAATAATGGGAGTGGCCAAAAAGATTCCACGATTAGGCAACAGGAAGATCGGGTCTCACTCACAGAGCTGGTCTCTCTCAACAGAAAGATCAGGGAGGGCCTGGACAAGATGAAATAACAGAAATAATGTCAAAGAAGCAGAGTTACCTAACATTCTGTACCTATAACTTACCTAGTTTACACATAAACATTAGATTATAAATAGATAACATAATGCCTTTTATCAAGTGCTTGGAATTGTATCCAGAATTAATAGCCATTTTAAACTTGAATCTTTACAACAGTCCATGAGGTAGGTTTTTGTTTCATTTTGTTTTGTTTAAAGTTTCTGTCGGGCAGCTGCGTTTGCTCAAGAGAGACAGAGCAGAGCAGCACCAGATCCAACATGGCGGCCAGCAGGAGGCTGGTGGAGCTTGAAGAAACCCACAAATGGAAAAACTTCTGGAACATCCAGGTTGATGAGGCTAATTTGCTGGCAAGGGCTTATTGTTCCTGACAGCCCTCCCTATGACAAGGGGCCCTCAGAAGTGAAACCAGCTTTCCCGCAGATGACCCGTTCAAACCACCGAGAGCACACCTAAAACAAAGAGCTGCCACCCGAGCAGCGATGAACAGGGGCAGGTCCGTCTCCAGTAATGAGTGCTGAAAACCGAAGCCAGCTACTAGCGCTGGTGAACGACCCCCAGCCTGAGCACCCCCTCCGGGCTGACCCAGCTGAAGACCGCCGCCTCTAAGGACCGTAAACAATTCTGTAAGAACGCTGAAGAGTTTCAAAGAAATACGGGCAAAAGCGACCTGTGGACTAAACTGCCACGATTGATCCCAGCACGGGTGAGCCGAGACCCCGAGCAGTGCAGTGCGTTCAGACACCCCGCAAAGCAGGGCTCTGGGGGAAATGGATTCGTGCCACCACCTGGCGTTCGCTTGTGGCAGTTACTAACTTTCTACAGTTTTCTTACTTGAAAGTGGTCTAGGTAACCGGTAAAGACCTTCTCCTCCATCTTCCTCTTAGGATTTTGGGCACATACACACGCCTGGTGTGTTTTTCAAACTGCTGGGTCTAGGACGTGAACTGTGCAATCAGTCATGTGGGATCCAGCTACCTTAACTGCCATGTCACTGACTAGTCTGTTCTTTTTATTTCATTCTTTATTTTTTGAGACGTTTTTGCTATAGGGCACATGCGCTCACCAGAAAGACAAAGAGAGACAGAGAGACAGAAAGTGAGAAATCACCCCACCCCCAGGGGGGATGGCCATGCCACAATCCTTTCTCCTCCATTCTCTACTCAGGATCTTGGGCACACACGCACACGTGCCAGGCGTGAGTTTAAGCCACTGGGTCCAGGACTCTAACCGTCGTCGGCTATGTGGGAGTCCAGTGACATAGCCATTACACCAACTACTGGTCCCTGGCTGGTCCGTTCTTTTTTTTTAATTTTTTTTCCAGAGGTTTTTGCTATAGGGCACATGCGCTTGCCAGACAGAGACAGATAGAGAGACAGAAAATGAGAAATCACCCCCCGGGGGGGATGGCCACGCCACAATCCCTTCTTCTCCATTCTCCTCTCGGGATCTTGGGCACGCACGCACACGCGCCCGGCGTGAGTTTTAAGACACCGGGTCTGGGACGTGAACCGTGGTCGACTACGTGGGAGTCCAGTGACATAGCCATTACGCTAACTGCTGGTCCCTGGCAGGTCCGTTCTTAATCACACTTTACAGATGAGAATATTATAGCTTACAGAAATTAAATAATTTGCTCATGGCTAATAAGTGTGACATGGTTAATAGAGTTTGTACCCGAAGAATCCTTCGCACTGACATAAAATCATGCAGTAAACAAAATCTTCATACTTTAGCATTGCAGCTTAAGTACAAGTAGCAAAAAGTAGCAAACAGCTAAAAAGCCCAGAAGATAAACCTTCCTGTTGAAGGGTGCCTATATCTCCACAATGTACCTGGCATGTTTTGGGCCTCCACCCCCACACCTCCCCTCAAAACAAGTAACTCTGGAGACCAGCATTTCTGTCACAGGAAAGTCTTGAAACTTGTGTCATTCAGAATTGGTCACCAGAGCTCAACTACAGTTGGTATATGTATTAAGTTATTATAATATGGTACTTCTGCTTTGTTGTTGTTATTTGTCTTTGGCCATAGAGTGCGTGCATTTGCACAGAAACACAGAAAGTAAGAAATCAGCCCCCCAGGGGCCAGCAGGGGGCATGGTAGTTAAGGCGCCGGACTCCCACATGGCAGACTGTGGCTCAAGTCCGGACCTGGCGGTTTGCTTTCTTACTTTCTCTCTCTCATAAGCACATGTGCCCTACAGCAAATTTTAAAAAATAATGATAATAAATAAGGGACCAGCAGGTGGCATAATGGTTATGTCACTGGACTCCCAAGCAGCTGACCACAGTTTGAGTTCTGATTTAAAACACACCAGCGGCTGGGACCAGCAGTTAGCGTAATGGCTATGTCGCTGGACTCCCATGTAGTCGACCGCAGTTCAAGTCCTGGACCTGGCGGCTTAAACTCATGCCGGGTGCGTGTGCGTGCGTGCCCAAGATCCCGAGAGGAGAGTGGAGGAGAAGGGATTGCAGCGTGGCCATCCCCCCTGGGGGGGCGATTTCTTGCTTTCTGTCTCTCTGTGTTATAGGGCGCATGCACCCTATAGCAAAAAGCTCTCAAAAAAAAAAAAAACAAACAAACAAACAAAAAAACACCAGGCACATGTGTGTGTATGCCCAAGCTCCTGAGAGGAGAATGAAGAAGGGACTGTGGCATGGCCATCCCCCCAGACGGTGATTTCTCCCTTTCTATCTCTCTGTCACTCCAGTGAGTGTACGCACTCTATAGCAAAAATCTCTTTAAAAAAAGAAAAAGAAATTAATAATAATAAATAAAATTCAATCGTTCTTTAAAAAAAAAACACCCCCCATGGTAATGGCCACACTATAATCCCTTTTTCATTCTCGTCTGTGGATTTGGGGCACACACACACACACACTCGATGTGTTTTCAGGCCACTGGGTATGAAACTTGAGCCATGGAGCCAGCTCTGTGGGATCCGGCACCTCAACCACCTGGCACTTCTGTTTTTAGGAGAAAAAAATTATCTATGCCCACTGAAAAACGCATACAGAGCTGGCCCAGCGGTTTAAGCCTGGTGGTTAAACACAGCACAGAGAAGCTGGGTGTGAGCCCCAGCCCAGAGGCTTGAACACACTGGATGCCTGATGGCCCGGGATGTTGACTGGATGGAAAATTGGAGGAAAGAAGATAGTGGGGTGACCAGGCCCTACTGGGGTGCCTTCACCCCCCTCTCTGCTGTGCGTGCCACGTGCCCACTGGCATAAAACGCACACATGCACACAGAGTCACATGTCACAGCTCGGATAGCAAAGCTCACACTACGTCTTCTTACCCTTTCTGTTTTATCTGCACAGAAGAGTCGTGTGTGATGTCTCTTTTGCACCACAATGTATGTTATTCCTGGCCGGTAATCTTCCTCCAAGCTGATACATGCCTTGCGAATGGCTATTAGCTCTGGCCAAGCTACCTAGGAGACAGAAAAAGATCTATGTTCAATGGAGACCTCGCCTTGCGTCTTCCAAATCCGATTTCCCCAGAGTGGCCGCGGGAGGAAGCCCCGTCAGATGCCCATAAGCCCGAAAGGTAACAACAGTAACAAACGCGCGGACCTGCTTCATCTGCCCCTCGGACACCCCTCCGCGGTAATAGATGATCCGAGTGGGCTTGAAGCGGGTGGACTTGTAGAACTGGATCAGCAGCTCTCGGACCATGTTCGTCAGGTCCTGGATGACCTCCTGGCTGTACAGGAGCTCCTGGGAGACCTCCTGCCGGGAAGTCTGCACCCGGACGGTGGCGCAGTACCGGCTGGGGTGGCCGTCCATACTGCCGACCACGGCGGCGATGGAAGGCTTCTTCCCATCCCCGGCCGGGGGGTGCGTGACGTCGGCGCCCAGGAAAATAACAGGCTGCTGGAACACGGAGGGCCTGCTCAGATTTAAGGAGATGGTGCCACTCAGACACAGGGTGAAAACGTCTGGGTTTAGCAAGATAACATCACCACATATAATCACAGATATTTTAAATATCTATTTGTTTATTTAATTTGTCATAATTATTTTTTAATTTGATGAGAGAAGGGAGGGAGAGAGAGAGAAAGTGAGAGAGCAAGCTGCCAGGTCAAGATTTGAACCGTGCTCAGCCACATGGGAGTCCAGCACCTTAACCACCATGCCACCTGCCAGCCCCACAAAGAGATAATCTTAAAAGAGAGAGCAAAAACCTTTGCCCTAGGGAAAGGAGCACTAAGGTCTACTGAGTATCCAGGCCACCCAGTGCTGAGTCTGAACCAACTGAAGGGGTGAACATGGTTGTTCTCTAATAGAAAGGAAAGATTTCTTTCTTCTTCTTCTTTTTTTTTTTTTGGAGAGGATTTTTCGCTATGGGGCGTGTGCGCTCTCCAGACAGACAGAGAGAGACAGAGAGACAGAAAGCGAGAAATCACCCCCCAGGGGGGATAGTCACGCTGCAATCCCTTCTCCTCAATTTTCCTCTCGGGATCTTGGGCACACACGCACACGCGCCCAGTGTGAGTTTTAAGCCACTGGGTCCGGGACGCGAACCGCAGTCGACTACGTGTGAATCCAGAGACATAGCCATTACGCCAACTGCTGGTCCCAAGATTTCTTTTAAAAAGAGACCTGGCCAGCTGGTGGCATGGTGGTTGAGATGGCTGGATCCCAAGTAGCCCACGGTGCAGTTCGAGTCCCAGATCCAGTGGGTTGAAAATACACTGGACACATGTGTCTTTGTGGCTACAATCCCAAAAAGAGAATGGAGAAGGGATTGTGGTGTGGCCATTCCCCATGAGGAGTGCTTTCTCACTCGCCCCCCAGCAAGCACACGTGTGTCCTAGTGAATTTTAAATAAAAATAAAAACTAACTAAATAAAAAGAATATGCAGGCCCAGGCTTTTCACCCAGGTGGTAGCATACTGATCCACAGTACTGGAAGCCACATGGCCACGCCAACCTGGAAACAGCTGTGCATATGCCCAAGATCTGGCTGGAGGGCTGGAGGGCTGGAGGCAGGGGACTGCAGTAAGTGAGACCTGCCAAAGGGGCCTGTGTCTCTATCCACTCTCTCGTGAAAGAAATAAATAAAAAAAAGAGAGCCTAACCCAGATTTAACAAAAATCTCTCTAGATAAAGTATATTTCTCAGAACAGGCTCTCTGGCTTCTGATATTTCTTTTCTTTTTTTAAACTCTTTTTTTTTTAAGAATTATTTTATTTAACTTTATTTACTTATTTATTTTAATTATGACCAGAGAGGTACAGAGTGAGAGAGAGAGAGAAAGTGAGAAAGCAAGCCACCAGGTCCAGGACAGGAACTATGGCCGGCCACGTGGGGGTCCAGTGCCTTTAACCACCATGCCACCCGCCAGCCTCGGGATCCTGCATCTACGAGGGATACAGGAGAGTAGAATGTATATGGAAGGGTGACTCAAATTCCAGTTCTCGAGATGTGAGACTTAGGGAACAAGGTCAAGGGTGTCTCCTTCCCTACTCTGTATTTCTCCAGAACACTCAGCACTTCAGCACGCACTGTGCTCATTCGCTACACACGGGCATGGGGACAAGCGCCTCTACACCAGCAGGAACCCCATCTCATCTGGGCTCGGTCAGGACCTAGCCTGAGGGCTGAGAACACCCAAGCCACAGTGGACGCCCGGTAAACGCTGTCAAGGCCGGCTGCAGAGGCACAGCTGAGCGGCCGCGGAGGGCCCCCCCCCAGCCGCTCCCTCACATCTCAGCCGCCCTAAGTGCACAGTCCTACTGGCTGGAGAGCTGGGAGTGGGGGATCGTGGCACGGTGAGATCTCGCCGGGCTACCTGTCTCGCTCTCACACACACATAAAAGAAGTGGGTAAGTGAATTAAACGTTTTTTTTTTTTCACTGAAAGAATTCATTTAATTTGCACTAATTTTTCAGCCAAAGAAGTCAGGGAGAAAAATATCATGCATGCTTCTCTGGTAAAAGCTAGGGGAAAAAAATAGAAAGAGAAGAAAAGAAATGATGTACAATATGGTATACAATTCTTTAAAATCTTATAGGCAGTATTTGGGACTGTGAGAATTAATTCCTTTTTTTTTTAAGGATTTATTTGTTTTATTTTTCATTATTACTATTATTTAAAAAATAATACAGGCTATTACTTTAAAAATTGCTACAGGGCACACATGCTCAGCAGAGAGACAGAGAGATAGACAGAGAAGGAAAGTGAGAAAGCAAGCCACCAGGTCTGGGATTCGAACCACGGTTGGCCATGTGGGAGCCCAGTGCCTTAACCATCATGCCACCTGCTGTATGACTGTGATGCAGGACTGACTGGTGCTGGGAGGGCATCACAGTCTCAGAAGAGGGAGGTTCTTCCTCTCTCCCTCATGGAAGAAATGAATGAATAAACTAAAAAAAAAAAAAAATCCAGAAGGGTAGCAATTCTCAAATCTCCCACCTTGCAGCCCACTCTTGACCTATAATATATCACTGTCTTGCTGTGGTGTTTGGTGACCCTGGAGTCGGTCTGACAACTTCAAATTTAAACAAACGAACAAACAAAAACAATGGGAAGAGGTGAGGGTTCTTAACAGCACATAAAAAGATTGATAAGGGGCCAGTAGACAGCGTGGTAGTTAAGGCGCTGAACTCCTACATGGCTGGCTGTGGTTCAAGTCCTTACCGGGAGGCTTGAAAGTCATGCCAAGTGCAGTACACAGGCCCTATGGAAAAAAAAAAAAAAAAGTATATAATAATAATAATAATAATTAATAAATAAAAATTTTAAAGATAGATTAAACCTCATCTCATTAGCATTAAGAACTTTTGTTTAAAAAAATAAGAACTTTTGTTAAAAGATAAAGCAGAGTAGGAAAAAATATCTGCAATACCTACATCCCATCAAGGACTTACATACAGAAACTAAAAAATGTACTACAAATTAATGACAAAGACTCACAGCCTAATATAAAAAATGAGCAAAGAGCTGAACAGGCCCACCACAAAAAGGATGTACAAATGGCCAGTAAGCGTGAAAATGTGCTTAATATCTGTAGTCACTGGGGTGCAAGTTCAGACTGTAATAAGACTCTACCCCCCCAAGCAAAATGGCTAAAATGAAAAGGGCTGATCCTACCACGTGTTGTCAAGGATGTAGGCAACTAGAACTCTCAGTAGAAATGTACATTGGTGTGACCACTTTGGAAACTTTTTTTTTTTTTTAAGGAAAAGGTAGTTATATTTATTTTTGAAGAGAAGTTTTTGCTATAGGGCATGTGAGCTCACCAGAAAGAGAGAGACAGAGAGACAGCAACTGTGAAATCACCCCCCGGGGGGATGGCCAGGCTGCAATCCCTTCTCCTCCAGTCTTTTCTCGGGATCTTGGGCACGTATACACATGTGCCTAGCATGAGTTAAACTGCCAGGTCCAGAACTCGAACTGCGGTCAATTATGTGGGAGTCCAGCACTGCAACCATTACACCTTCTGCTGGCCCCAAAAAAGGTGGGTTATTAAATAGACGTGAGAGAACACTCCTGAGAGGTAGAAGTAATTGTTTTATCGATGTTAAATTCATGTGTTTTCATTTTTTAAGAATTATTTTATTTAACTTTATTCATTTACTTATATAACTTGACCAGAAAAGTGAGAGAGAGAGAGAGAGAGAGAAAGTGAGAAAGCAAGTCGCGAGGTCCAGGACTCGAACCACAGTCGGCCATGTGGGAGTCCAGCGCCCCAACCACCACGCCACCAGCCAGCCCCCGATTTATGTGTTTTCTATAACCCTAGTCTTTCAACAGTTCTACTCCTGGAATTCCACACAAGAGAAAGAGTACTTCAGACAAAAACACAGAAGTGTAATGAATGTATGAGAACATTCATCGATGGAAGACTAGATTAAAAGCATGTGGCTTACTCATATACAATGACAAAAATAACAAACTACTGCTAAGTGCAGCAATGTAAATGAATCTCACAGACAAAATGTTGAGCAAAAGAAGAAAGACGCAAGACAAGAACTGACTACGATTCCACCGAGAAGTTCAAACACAGGCAAGACCAGTCTATGTGAATAGAGGTCAGAATATGGCTATCTATTTGTAAGGACCACAAGGAAACCTGATGGGGTGCTGGAATGTTCCGTATCTTTACCTGGGTGGCAGGTACATTTGTGTACACACATGTAAGTTAGATCTGAAATGAAAGTGGAAAACAGAGGCCAGCTTGGTGGCGTGGTGGTAAAGGTGGCTCAATCCTGTGTGGTTTGAGTGCGGGACACAGTGGTTTGAAAGGCAACCCGGATGCGTGTGCATGTGTGTGTGCATGCATTGTCCCCAGAATCCCAAGAGGAGAGTGGAGAAGAGATTTCAGCATGGCCATCCTCCATGGGGGGAGGGTGCTTTCTCACTTTCTCTCCCTCGCCCTCTCCTTCTCTCTCAGCGAGCATATGCACCCTATAAACAAAACAAATTTAAAAGGTGGGAAAACAGAGCTCAGGATCTTACCTTTGATGAGGTACAAGCACGTTATTAATTCCCCCGAGCTTTGCATTTATCTTCAGACAAAGGTTGGAGAGGGTTTGGGGTGAGGTCTTCACTACGTTTTTTACCTGGACACATTGTGTGGCCATACCTAGCAGGGTATCTCCAACGCGTTTCACCTCCGCTACAAAAAGAAGTCAATTAAGAATATTTAGAGAAAGGGGGGAACACCCACACATTACCATTCACAGAGCACCTAGGATGGACCAAGCGTCACGTTAGATGCTTCTCAGTGTGGGGTCTTGCACCTGCTCACCTCCAGGGCAGTCTTTCTACCCTGTTTGGACGGCCTTCCCCTCCTCCCCTCCCGTCCTGCAGGCCTCGATGCCAGCCTGGTCCTCTCTACTCCTCCGTGCTCCTGCCGCCACTCCCTTCCAGAGGTTCCTTTCCCCACAGAACTAGTCTGGCAGAGGAATCAATCCCGCAGCTCCTCCCTCTCAGTACACACACTGGCCCTTTGAATTTTAAAATTCTTTTTTCCTTTTTTTTCCCCTCTCTAAACACAGATCCACAGAAGGTAACAAAAGAAGCAAATAGAGAGTGGGTTGAAGACATTTTATCAAGTTTAAACAGCTGGTCCCTGGTCCTAGGACTTCACTTAGATGAGAACCAAAATGACTGTATCATTCTTCTTACCAGTGGTACAAACTAAGCACTTCTTTGGAAGTGGCTGGCTCCCCTGCTCTGATATTCCTGAGAGCTTTTCACCAAACGTTCCAGTCCTCCCAGCTTCCAGGATTACGGTAGGACTGTAATGTATGTCTGCCCCAAGGCACCACCACCCCAGACAGCAAGGCTCACTGTGGCCAAAGAGCCGCAGAGAGGGCGTGGGGCCGGCAACATTCCAAAGGGCTGCTGTTCTGCCAGGCTGGGTCCCACAGGGCAAGCGACATGATGACACAGAGCAAAGCCCGCAGTCGACCCTCCGTGGACACGCAGCAGGAGCCAGGACTGAATCTTGGCTGCTCTGAAGCACTGAGAGTTTGGGGTTGTGACTGCAGCATTGCCCGGTGTACCCTGTCCCACCTGCTGCTTGTCATCATCCCTCATTCAGCTTTAGAAGAGTCCATACCATACACCGGCGTCTTTCCGGGCAAGATCACCACAATTAGCTGCAGGCCCACGTATGTCATTTTCAGATGTTTAAACATGGGCTCCACGCTGTCGGCCCCTTGTGCGTACTTGCAGAAACAGGGCTGGCCCTGGATGGGCATTTCTGCGTCCTTAGAGATTTTACGGCCTGCGTCCTTAGAGATTTTACGCAGCTGGTCAGTGAAACTCCTGTTAAAAGAGAACAGGTGGCGAGTGCGTTTATGTCCACATATACTCCTAGCAGTCACTCTCTTTCAAACTTCTTTCAGTCTGCACACATCTAGCCAAACTTAAAAACAAACAAAACAAAACTTTAACTGGTTGCCGAAAATAGACCAGCAGTTATAGCACTACCATTACAGCAGAAAAAGCCTGTATTGTTATTATTGTTTTATTTTATTTTTTTAGTTTTTTGCCATAGGGCATGTGTGCTCACCAGAGAGAGACCAAGAGAGAGAGGGAGAGAAAAAGAGAAGGAAAGTGAGAAATCATCCCCCATGAGGGATGGCCATGCCACAGTCCCTTCTCCTCTGTTCTCCTCTTGGGATTTTGGGCACGCATGCACATGTGGCCACCGGATCTGGGACTCACACCATGGTCAGCCATGTGTAAATCTAGTGCCTTAACTACCATACCACCTGGTGGACCAGAACCCATATTGTAAAATTACCAGACTATCACTTTGATTTTTAAAATAATTATGGCTCAGTTGGACCCCAGGGACCAAAATAGCATTTCTGTTCAAAGGTTTGTTTGTTTGTTTGTTTTTAATATTCAAATCGATAATAGTGGATGGAAGAAAAGTTGAAAATTTCAGGCAATATTCATTTTGATAAACTCAGTATGGGAATAGCAGAGTAAATCTGTGTTTAACCAAGAACATAAACACACGCTGTCACAAAATTAGGGTATTTACTATAACCAACTGTAACAGATTGGGTTCCACACAGTGTCAAAAGAAATCACCACTTAAAAACAAGCAAAATTCATTTGAAGTTTTACATTTCGGATTTGAGGAGTTACTTCGATCTATGTAGTAAGCTCTGAGAATAACTTCTTTTGTGCTTTTGCCAGTATTCCGTAGGATTCCTTTTCCTTTTTGTTTTCACCCTCCTAACTATCTTTACATGGATGTCTGCATTTGGAGGATGAGAATCAATACTTTTGGTCAGTGACCTTGCAGTAAAACAAGCTCCCTTGTAAATTAGAATGATTAAAAATAAACTAGTTTTTATCTTAGCTGAAAGATACAACGAATACCAAAGGAAGCATCACTAAGAACTCAAGGATTCACCAACCAGCGTGGTTTCTACCTTGTTAGTCACAAATTTCTGCTTTAGATGTAAGGAAGCTGAGTCAGAGTCTTCACCCAGTCCCGCGTTTACAACTCTCTGTAATACAAGGTCTATTTCACACACCCAGGTGGTCCCACCATGGCAGTCAGGCGTTCGGGGCGAGTGTACAGAGCACATTCACATAAAGACGGAATGTCCGTGTCTGGACGGGGTATTACTGAGCTGAAAACACGAAGATACTCACTTTAGTAAATCTTCCCTACATTGTTTCTGAGGCGCAAAACAAGCCACTGCCCAAACTTTAATTTCAATGCCAGCATAAAACTGCTTTCCTCGCATGTCCCAGACACCCTGGTTGGGTGTGGCTACTGTTTTATTCTTTAAAAAAAAAAAAAAGAAAAGAAACAAAAGAAAAGAGAAAAAGACATTACAATCTAAGGCCATTTTAATGTTAATGAGGGAATAAACAAAATTCTACTTAGTATGAGCCAGAAAACAAAAAAAAAACCACATGAGCCAAGCGATGGGTAAATTCAGCGTGCTACGGCGGAAAACCCCTGCGTTGTTCCCTCTGACTGTGGTCGGAGCAGCTTGCTGACCAAAACGGGACGCTTACCCGGCCTCCGTACTGCAGCATCGGGGCTGGGAGCACCCTGCCTGTGAGCTCTGTCATCTCGTTGTGGACGACAATACCAAATTCCTTAAGGTACGGATCAGGTCCTCCCACCATGCTGTTACTCTTCACCTAGAGAACAGGAAAACCTGCGTAAAAAACAAACAGACGAAACCCCAAAAAACAGAGAAGCTGTGTCCCATCAGTTTTCCACCCTGGTTGGGTTTGGCTACTGTTTTATTCTTTAAAAAAAAAAAAAAGAAAAGAAACAAAAGAAAAGAGAAAAAGACATTACAATCTAAGGCCATTTTAATGTTAATGAGGGAATAAACAAAATTCTACTTAGTATGAGCCAGAAAACAAAAAAAAAACCACATGAGCCAAGCGATGGGTAAATTCAGCGTGCTACGGCGGAAAACCCCTGCGTTGTTCCCTCTGACTGTGGTCGGAGCAGCTTGCTGACCAAAACGGGACGCTTACCCGGCCTCCGTACTGCAGCATCGGGGCTGGGAGCACCCTGCCTGTGAGCTCTGTCATCTCGTTGTGGACGACAATACCAAATTCCTTAAGGTACGGATCAGGTCCTCCCACCATGCTGTTACTCTTCACCTAGAGAACAGGAAAACCTGCGTAAAAAACAAACAGACGAAACCCCAAAAAACAGAGAAGCTGTGTCCCATCAGTTTTCTATGCCTTTTTTTTTTTTTTTTTTGCCTTAGGGCATGTGCATTTGCCAGAGAGAGGGAAAGTGAGAAACCACCCCGGGGGGATGGTCACTCTACAGTCCCTTTTCCTCTGTTCTCTTCTTGGAATTTTGGGCTCGTACACACCCACAGGTGCCTGGCATGATTTTTAAGCTGCCAGGTCCAGGACTTGAACTACATTGGGCCATGTAGGAGCCCAGTGCCTTAACCACCACGCCACTTAGTAGCCCCTGTTTTCTGCATCTTAAAGCTAGCTAATACTGAAGCCCAGGCCTTACTGACCAGCCTGCTGATTTCTTCCTGCCTGTCAGGAGCTGATCGTGCTGTGGCTTTGATCATCGTGGAAGTCTGATTGTCTGTGAGCTTCTTGATACATCGCTGGCCTGCCACTATGTTACACACCTGCCAAGAGGCAAAGAGGTTAGATTACATAAAGGGCTTCAAGACCTTGAGCCTTTGCCAAACCGCATCATACAGCTTCCATTTCCAGACAAATAAAAAAAAAAGTCTGTTACGCAGCAGTTATATGCCCCGAATATTTTAGAAATCAACACTAAACTCCACTGCTTGTTTAGAATCCTGTTTTTATTTGCTGTATTTATTTTTAAAGCTCATGCAAAAGGCTGGCAGATTGGCACGAGAACATGAAGTGCAGCTTACCTCAAGTGGCAAGTATGTATGCTTCTGTTCTTGCCCCACTTGGAGACAGGGGAGGTGGGGGTATTTCAGCTGCAGACTATATTTTTGCTTAAAATATTGAGCCACTGTACATTCCATAGCTTGGCCATTTTCTAGCTGTAAAGGAAAACTATAGGAGAGAATTCGCTTTTTAGAAATTTCTTCCAGTTCTTCTAAACAAGTAAACAAGCAAAGACTATGAACATTTTCTTTTTCCTTATTACTTTTTTCCTTATTCTTTTCCTTATTACTTTTTTTTTCTTACTCACATTTTCTACCTTAATCAGTCAATAAACAAAGGTCAATTTTTTATGTTAAGTTTTCACTATAAGGTGCTTATGCTTACTGGAGAGAGACAAAGACAGAGAAGGAGGAAAAGTGAGAAATCACTCCCCGGGGGATGGCCACACTGCAATCCCTTTTCCTCCACTCATTTCTCAGGATTGTGGGCACATGTGCACACGTACTCAGTGTGTTTTTTAAGCCCCCAGGTCTGGGACTGGAACCGTGGAGTCGTCTTCGTGGAATTCAGCTACCTTAAACTCCACTCCACCTGCTGGCTCCACAACATAAATTTTGTTGATTTTTTTTTTTTTAGAGACTTTTTTGCTACAAGGGCGCATGTGCTCGCTGGAGAGACAGAGATAGCAAGACGGAAAGTGAAAAATCACCCCCACCCCAGGGGAATGCTCACATCACAATCCCTTCTCCTCCATTTCCCTTTTGGGATTTTGGACACGCACACACATACATGCTGGCATGAGTTTTAAGCTCCTGGGTACGGGACTCGAACCACGGTCAACTACATGGGAGTCTAGCAATGTAGCCATTATGCCATCTGCTGGTCCCATTGATTTCTTATTTTTCAAAGAATTATTTATTTAATTTTATGTTTCACTTATTTTTAAATTTGCTACAGGGTACTTGTACTCTCCAAATAGAGACAGAGAGAGAAAGAGAATGTGAGAAAGCAAGCCACCAGGTCCAGGATTCAAACCACGATCGACTGTGTGGGAGTCCAATGCTTTAACCACCACATCACCTGATGGCTCCAATTTTTTGGTGCAGTGGTGGTTACGGTGTTGGATTCCCACGTGGCCGAGCGTGATTTGAGTCGTGGACCTGGCAGCTTGAAAACCATGCCAAGCACGTGCACATGCGTGCCCAAAGCCCCTGGAGGTGAATAGAGGAGAAGGAATTGCAGTGTGGCTATTCCCAGAGGGTGGTGATTTCTCACTTCCCTCTCACTGTCTCTCTCTGACAATTGCATGAACACTATGGCAAAAACCTGAAAAAAAAAAAGATTTTAAAAAAGAAGAGAGAACATTTAAGTTCATATCAGACTTGAGTTTAATGAGAATGGTTAATTGATTACAAGACTAAAAGTTACAAATATGGTCTTCTTTTTTTTTTTTGCCCGTCACCACCCATGTCCCCCTGAACCTCCCCCCCATATATGATAATCTTAAAAGCATCTTCATATAGGGGTCAGCATGTGGTGTGATGGTGAAGGGTGCTAGACTCCCACATGGCCAACTGCAGTACGAGTCCCGGACCGCCAAATTAAAATAAACAAATCAAGTTAAATAAAATAGTTTTTTTGTTTGTTTTAAAGCATCTTCATGTATTACTACTGTCTCACTTAGGCATAGTTCTCAGCAAGTTAAAAATTTGGTGATTGAACAAATGAAACGGGCAGGCCAGCTGGTGGGATGGTGGTTAAAGCAGCTGGATCTCACATGGCCCATGGCATGGTTCAAGTCCCAGACATGGCAGCTTGGAAAACACACTGGGTGCATGTGAGCCCCAAATCCTGAGAGGAGTATGGAGGAGAAAGGATTGCAGCATGGCCATTCTCCCAGGAGGTGATTTCTCTCTCTCTCTCTCTTGTTCTCTGTCTCCAGTAAGAACATACACTCCATAGAAAATTCACTTTTAAGAAGGCAAAGAAAGGAAAATGAGGTTGGGGAAGTGGAGAGACACATCCTTTTGGGCGGATACCACAGACACTAAGAGCCGGGGAGTGACAGCTAGCAACAAAGGGAGGACGGGAAACCCACAGAAAGGAACCCCAGTGGCATGATGGTCTAAGACACTGCTTGGAAATGATGCCAGGTACGTGTGTGCATGCTCAAACTCCCGAAGGGAGAATGGAGAAGGAATTGTGATGTGGCCATCCCCTCTGGGGGGGTCATTTTCTGGGGAGCGCATACACCCTATAGCAAAAAAAAACCTCTCCAAAAAAAAAAAAAAAAAAAAAAAAAAAATGATTAAAGAAAGAACAAAAACCCCAAAGCAATGTCTTCCCGTGATAGCCTTATCGACTTCATGACCTTGACAGACCCTTTGGGCCACGTTTTGAAGATTACACAAGCACATTAATGATGCTTGCAATGATGACTGCACCATTAAAGTCCATCTAGATGTAGCATACTTCATTTAAAAGACAAATTAAGTTATTTTTTTGAAAATTATTTTATTTAACTTTATTTATTATTATTATTTTCACATGAGTTTTGCCAGAGAAAGACCGAGAGAGAGAGAGAGAGAGAAAGCAAGCCACCATGTCTGGGACTCGAACTATGGTCAGCTATGTGGGAATTCCAGCACCTTAACCACCACACCACTTGCTGGCCCCAAATTAAGTTTGTTTTTTGTTTTTTGTGGTTTTTTTTTTGCTATAGGGAGCATGCACTCGCCAGACAGACAGAGACAGACAGAGAGACAGAAAACGAGAAATCACCCCCCCAGGGGGGATGGCCACGCCACTATCCCTTCTCCATTCTCCTCTTGGGATCCTGGGTACACACGCACACACGCCCAGCGTGAGTTTTAAGCCACAGGGTCTGGGACACAAACAGCGCTCGACTAGTGGGAGTCCAGTGACATAGCCATTACGCTAACTGCTGGTCCCATTAAGTTAATTTTTTAAAAGAAGTTTTTGCCTTAGGGCGTGTGTGCTTGTAGGAGAGAGAGAGAAAGAGACAGTGAGAGGGAAAGTGAGAAATCAGCCCCTAGGGTTATGGCCATGCTGTAATCTCTTCTCCTCCACTCTCCTCCTAGGATCTTAGGCATGCACCCACACACGCCTGGTGTGATTTTTAAGTCACTGGATCTGGGACTCAAATCGTGGTCAACCAAGTGGGAGTCCAGTGACATAACTGCTATGCCATCTGCTGGTACCATAAGTCTCTCTATCAAAATCTTTAAAGCACCTTTTTAAATTTTTTTTTCATTTTTAATAAGTAACTCTTCTCTATTCTATTTTACTCATTGTCATTATTTTATTTATTTTTTATTTTTTGAAGTTGACCAGGGAGACAGAGAGGGAGAAGGAAAGTGAGAAAATAAGCTGGTCGGTCTGGGACTTGAACCACGGTCAGCCATGAAGGAGTCCAGCCGCCTTAACTACCACACCACCTGTTGGCCCCAAAAGTACCTTTTTTTTTTTGGAGAGGTTTTTGCTATAGGGCGCATGCGCTCGCCAGAAAGAAAGAGAGAGACAGAGAGATAGAAAGCAAGAAATCACCCCCCAGGGAGGATGGCCACGCCGCAATCCCTTCTCCTCCATTCTCCTCTCGGGATCTTGGGCACGCACACATGTGCCCGGCGTGAATTCAAGTCACTGGGTCTGGGACTTGAACTGCAGCCAACTACATGGGAGTTCAGCGATATACCAATTACGCTAACTGCTAGTTCCAAAGTACCTTTTTTTTTTTTAAGATTTTTTTTTAATGTTTTGCCATGGGGTACATATGGTCACTAGAGAGAGAGACAGTGAAGGGGGACGGGCCATGCTGCAATCCCTCTATTCTCCGCTCCTTTGGGGATTTTGGGCATACGAGCACATGAACCCAGCATGATTTTCAAGCCACCACATGCAGGACTTGAACCATGGTCAGCCATGTGGGAGTCCAGCGCCTTAACCACTAGGCTACTTGCTAGCCCCAAAGTCTTTAAAACACTTTAAAACCATGGTGTTAAAAGTGAAGACTCTGGTGATCTTGCAAATCACAGCACAGGACACCAGTTTTTCAAACGGCCATAGCAGCTTCTCCCCTTACCCAAATGTAGTCATCTTATTTGAGATGTGTCTAACTTACGTTTGGTGACTGGCTGGCCGTCTAGTCACATTACAAACTCGGTATTTCCGTTTCATCTGTCCACAGTGCGTCACCTCAACTTTGAGACCTGATGTTAAAAACAAAAAAATATACAAAAAGTCAAAACAACAGTATTAAAGTCTGAGGGACAAAAATCGATTCAAATGTTGTTTCCAGAAAAGCATGGCAAAGCCCAGCCACAGGGGCACATGCTGCTAAGATGCTATGCCTTAGAGGCTGGGGCCACGTGGGGGGCCTGAGTTCAATTCCTGGTTTGACCTAGCAGCCAGGAGTGCTGACAGGCACTGGAATCCCTGCCTGGCTGGGTGACAGTGAGAGCCTGTCTGGAAGAACTGGCTGTGATGGTGCGTTTGGGAGCTACTCAGAAGGCTGAAGCAGGGGACAGTGACATAGTAAGACCTGTCTGTCCTTTTCTTTTCTTTTTAAGGTTTTGCTATACAACACATACGCTTACCAGAGAAAGAGTGGGAGGGAAAGTAAGAAGTCAGCCCCCGGGGGTGTGGCCAAGCCACAGCCCCTTCTACCCTAATCTCCTCTTGGGGTTTCGGGCACACACGGCCAGCGCGATTTTCAAGCCACCAGGTCCAAGACTCACGCAGCTGACCTTGTGGGGTTCAGTGCTTTAACTTCCACACCACCTGCTGGTCTGAGACCTTATCTTTTAAAACTAAGCAAATAAATACACAAACAGCATAATATTGTATAGAATACTAATTGGAAGAATATGGAAATAGTTCATTATGTATGAGTAAAAAAACCTCAGGTAAGTAGCATAAATTAGAATCCAGATAACCTAAGATGCTTAACCTACTTTAATTCATTCAGTAACTATATTTTTTGAGAGATTTTTTTCTTATAAGGCTCATGTATTCACCAGAGAGACAGAGAGACAGAAAGCAAGAAACCACCCCCCCGTGGGGGATGGCCACACCGCAATCCCTTCTCCTCCATTCTCCTTTCGGGATCTTGGGAACGCACGCACACAGGTCCAGCATAAGTTTCAAGCTACCAGGTCCAGGACTCCAACTGTGGTTGACTACGTGGGAGCCCAGCAATGTAACCATTATGCCATCTGCTGGTCTCCATTCAGTAAATATTTTTAAGCATCGGCTGTGTCCTGGTGTTATGCTCATGTCTGAGGACAGCCCTCATGAAGTTGCTATTCTTGTGGGAGAAGACAGCTAATAACAAATGAGAAAGAAGGACGTTCTGAGAGGGGAATAAACGCACTATATTATTTTATTAGGATGGAAGTTCCTCAGTGGGAAAGGGTACCATTTACTGAGGGCCTGACAGGTTCTGCACTAGCAAGTCTTAACAAACCTGACTGCGTCTAGTTTTCATAGCAATTCTATAAGGTCTATGTATATCATATTATATTAAGATCTTTGCCTCAGGGATGAATAAACTAAGGCTCACAGTGGTTAAGAACTGGCCAACGGGCGCGTGTGCGTGCATGCCCAGGATCCCGAGAGGAGAATGGAGAAGGGATTGCGGCGTGGCCATCCCCCCGGGGGGGGGGGTGATTTCTCGCTTTCTGTCTCTCTGTCTCTCCCTGTCTGTCTGGCGAGCGCATGCGCCCTATAGCAAAAAAAAAAAAAAAAAAAAAAGGCTGGCCAAAGGCCTCACTGTAGAATGGGCAGGGCTGGGATGAAAGCCCAGGTCCGTCCGACTCCAGAGCCCAGACTTCTTGCACCATGCCTCTCTGCCTCTCTGAGACACATCAATGCGCATACCTACCTCTGATTTCTTTGGTAAACTTGACGCGCTGAGAGTCGGTCAGTGGTTTGGTCTGTTCGTTGATGTTCTGAATGTCTAAAACCTCACACATGAACTCAATGATAGGCTGAGCCCGGTAGAAAGCAGTCGCAGATACTAACAAAAGAGAGGAAGGGCGCTTAGCTTCGGGGAAAGGGCAGGACCTGGGCAGGTTGTCAAAGTCCAGCTCTGACCAAATGGAGCTGGGATGGGCCACAAGGGCGGGGGCTGCATGCACCTGCACCTGATAACAAGAACTATCAGGGAAGACTACAGAAAGCACAGCCATGCACAAAGGGCATCGCAACCTTGCACAAAGAAACAGTACCGTAAGGACATCTTCCCAGCCTGCCCTGCCTTAGGCTGATGTCGCTCTTGCCATTGACCTTGTAGTCAAGGGTAATCGTTCCAGAATAACTCGTATCTCTCTCCTCATTTTCCTGTTAAAGGCGCTGTGCCCCCACCTCCTGAATCTCCTGTAGTTTACTACGGCATGCATATTCCACACTGCACCTCCTATTCCCCATTAAATGCATTATCTCTAGAGAATCTCTCTCCGTTATTTAGGTTTTGACAGTATCTCCCTCAAAATAAGTGAACAAACAGACAGAAAACCCAAACAGCCAAGGCAGTGAACAGATAAAGACGGTTCCATCCTACCATCGATATTGAGCATCATATTCCACATGGCAGGTCTCACGGACTGATGAAAGCCAAACCAGACCTCTCTGCCTCCTCCCAGAGGGTGATAGTAGCCTTCAGGAGGTGAGAAAAAGGAGCGACCCACTGGGGTGTACCTGAAGAAAGCAGAGTTTGCATGTTTTACAATAAAAACTTGAAGAGTTTTTTTGGAGAGGTTTTTGCTATAGGGCGCGTGCACTCGCCAGAAAGAGAGAGACAGAGAAACAAAAAGTGAGAAATCACTCCCCAGGGGGGATGGCCACGCTGCAATCCCTTCTCCTCCATTCTCCTCCCGGGTTCTTGGGCACGCACGCACACGTGCCCAGCGTGAGTTTAAGCCACTGGGTCTGACTCACACTGTGTTCAACTACATGGGAGTCCAGCGACACAGCCATTATGCCAACTGCTGGTCTCGAAAAACTTCTTTTTCTTTTTTTTTTAAAGAATGATTTAACTTTATTTATTTATTTTAATTTGACCAGAGAGGGACAGAGTGAGAGAGAAAGGGAAAGCAAGAAAGCAAGCCGCCAGGTTTGGGACTTGAACTGCAGTCAGCCATGTGGGAGTCCAGCACTCTTAGCCACCATACTGCCTGCCAGCCCCGAAAAGTTTTTTTTTTTTTTTTTTTTAAGATTATTTATTTCCTCTCTCATGGCCTTGCTTCCGAGGTGACGAAGAAAAGAAGGAACAACGGCCGTGCCTAAAAGGGCCGTGGCCATGTGCAGCCTATTCATTGCACAAACTGCGCCCGATGCATGCCCAAGGACAAGGCCATTAAGAAGTTCATCATTCGAAACATAGTAGAGGCCGCAGCCGTCAGGGACATCTCCGAAGCAAGTGTCCTCGATGCCTCTGTGCTCCTCAGGCTGTATGGGAAGTGACATCACTGTGTGAGTTGCACCATTCATAGCTAGGGAGTCAGGAACTGATCTCGGGAAGCTCACAAGGACCGGACACCCCCACCCCGATTTAGACCTGCGGGTGTTGCCCCTCACCCTCCACCAAAGCCCATGCAAGGAGCCAAGTCTTTAACTACTGAAGAGCTGTCTGTCCTCTGGGAAAAAATAAAACACCGATTATACATTTTTTAAAAAGATTATTTATTTAATCTTATTTATTATTGTTATTTTTAAATTTTTGACTAGAGAGAGCCAGGGAAGAAAAGTGAGAAAGCAAGCTGCAGGTCCAGGACTTGAACTATGGTCAACTATGGGGGAGTCCAGTGCCCCAATCACCAGACCACCTGCCAACCCAAAAACTTGAAAGGTTTTGGATTTCACTTGCAACTGTTTAAGCGAAAATCAAGTTAGAACCATGACTTACACGGACACCTTTCCGTGGCTCCACTGCACTCCACCGAAAGAGCCTGCCGTTTGTGGGCAAGAATCCAGGCCGAGGTACTAACCTCATGGAAGGAAGGTGTCTTGTGATGACATCCAGTGCTTGTACGGAGTCATCTGGGACCTCATTCAAGTGCCCGGCCAACGCCTCTAGCAGCAGCTGAAGGCTCACAACGGACACCCACTGAACGGACACTTTAAAGGTCTGGTCTTTCCCCTCACCTGGAAGGGTCACCTCCATATCGACCTGAGGAGAACATATACACGTACACAGACACGTTTACAGACTGTGGGAAAGAGCCCAAGAGCCTACGATACGGCATATGCATCAGGACATCAATTCTAACATCTTCTGTAATCGCAGAACATCGGGGACAATGGAACAACTTAGTCAATAGAGGAGTAATTAAATATGGAATGTTCCACAACAACTTGAAAACAGAGGTGGTACTACCACGGGGATGACCCTTGAGAACACGTGAAGTGGACTGTCTGGCTCTACTTCCGTGCAGTATCTAGAATAGTCAGATTCTTGGAGAAAGTGCTTCTCAGGGATGTGGGGAAGGGCATGGGACTTACTGTTAGAGGACAGAGTTTCTGTGGGAAGACGACAGACTTCTGGAGGTGGAGAATGGTGATGCAGACACACAATGCCACTGTACACTTACCAGTGGTAAAGATGGGAAACTTTATGTTACGTGTATTTTACCACAGTAAAAAAATCTGAATTTGGGGCCAGCAGGTGGCATGGCAGTGAAGGCCATGAATCCCACATGGCGAACTCTGTGGTTTGAGTCCTAGACCAGGAAGCTTGAAACACATGCAGGGCGGGGCAACAAATGGTTACATCATTGGACTCTCATGTAGTTGACTGCAGTTTGAGTCCCAAACCCGGTGGCTTAAAACTCACGCCAGGCTCGTGTGCATGCATGCCCAAAATCCCGAGAAGAGAATGAAGAAGAAGGGATTGAGGCGTGGCCATCCGGAGGGGTGATTTTGCACTTTCTGTCTCTCTTGTGAGAGCACATACCCTATAGAAAAAATGTCTCTGAAAAAAAAAAAAAAAGAAAGAAAGAGAAAAACATGTAGGGCATGTTTGTGTGCATGCATGCCCAAAATCCCCACAGGAGAATAAAGAAGAAATTTTGATGTGGCCATCCTCCGGGCGGGGAAGCGATTTCCCTTTCCCTCTCTTGTCTCCCTCTAGCGAGCATGCACACCCTCTGGCAAAAAAAAAAAAAGTTAATTTAGAAAAATAATAAGGTAGATTTAAATACAGAAATGGAAAGACAGGGGCAGGCCCATGGCCTGATGGTTAAGGCAGCTGGGTCCCATGTGGCTGACTGTGTGTCTCAAGTCCCAGACCTAACGGCGTAAAACACACCGGGTGCGTGCACATGCACGCCCAAAATCCCAAATGGAGAACAGAGGAGAAGGGACTGCAGTGTGACCATGCCTCACGGGAGATGCTTTCTCTGTCTGGAGAGCACATGCTCCCTCTGGCAAATTAAAAAGAACAACAACAAAAAAAACAGGAATATCTCCCAAACATATTGTTAAATGAAAAATCAAACCATGGGACAATATGAAAAAAATACACACACACACACACATGAATACATGCATAAATAGCTAATACACATGAAGTATCTAAAGAGATACATACCAAACTATTATAGCAGTTTCCTCTGAAAAGGAAAATGGAATTGAGGGGTGCAGACCGGTGGGGGGCAAGACACCACAGTACTTCTAGATTGCTGAGTAACTTTATAGTGAGCATATACTTACTTATCACTTTTCTCTTTCTAAAAAAAAGTATTAATGCATTTTTATTAACCTATTTTCATAAGTGGGTCAGATAGAGCTGTCTACCATTTATAAGAACCCACTGTTTAGATCCAGGTAGTACTTAGTTAAAGCACATCGTCCACGTGGGAAATTTGGAATATGTGTAAAAACGACACCGTCGACCTAAATTCTAATGCTCATCTCGTCCTCAGTTGTCATTCACTAAGAGACAAGAGGCGACGGCCAGAAAATCAAATCTGCCATCATTATGAAAAACAACGCTAAGAACGACAGTGTTACTAGAAAAGGAAACGTTTTCCTCACACGTAATTACTACACAATGACCTGAGAGCTCCTTGCTGTGAGCACTTACCCTGTCCCGTCCGATTGGCAGTGGGTGCGCTGTGTACATGTTTCTTTTACCGTCATAGCCAGGCTGCCGGTCACCAAATATCTGCATCTTGAAGTGCCGCACCATGGTGTCTACCACCTCCCTTAACAGTAATGGAGACAGTGACACTTAGCTTCACGAGACGGGGAACGGCAGGGAGAGGGTCCCCACACCTAGATCGTCTAAACTCGGTTCAGTATTATTAGGGGAGAGCAAGAGCTGAAGTCACAGTTGAGTCAAGTAATTAAAAAAACAGTTAACTGGGACCAGCAGGTGGCGTGGTGATGAAGGCGCTGGACTCCCATAAGGCCAACTGTGGTTTGAGTCTCGGTCCTGGCAGCTTGCTCCTTCTCTCTCTCTCCCTCTCTCCTCTCTCTCTCTCCCTCTCTCTCTCTCTCTCCCTCTCTCTCTCTCTCTCTCTGGTGAGCACATGTGCCCTATAGCAAAATTTGAAATAATAATACTAATGATAAATGAATAAAATAATAAATAACTCTACAATAAATAGTCAATAAAAGGTAGCAACAAGGAGATGAGAAGGGAGACTGAGAGGAAAGACGGTGTAACACTCACAGCATCTTCTCCGAGTCTTCTTTCCAAAGTCCTCTGATAAACATCGTCTTAGAAAAAGAACCTAGGCTAGTCCATGACATGTGGTTAAGACAGCTGGATCTCACATGGCTAACTACGCAGTTTGAGTCCCAAATCCGGCAGCTTGAAAATCATGCCAGGCAGGTGTGCATACGTGCCCACAATCCTGAGAGGAGAGGAGAGGAGAGGAGAGGAGAGGAGGGGAGGGAAGGGGAGGGGGGAGGAGAGGAGAGACTGCAGCGTGGCCATCCCCGTGGGGATGATTTCTCACGTTCCCTCTTTCTGTTCCTCTCCAGTGAGTGCGTGCCTTACAGCAAAACAAAAACAAAACAAAACGCACTAAAAAATAGAAGAAAAGTCGGGACTAAGCATGCAGCGCTTCCCTGGCGTGTTCTGGCATGTGCGCCGGATCCCACTGGGTGAGAAATGCCGGTTCTCAAATGCAGTGGCAACGGAATTGCGGAACAGAGTTGACGGAGCGGACAGTTCTGGATCTGTGAGCCTTCTGGATTCTCAAGTCAGTGAAGAGTTAGGGTCTTTGCCTGACCAAGCTCAGTGAGCTCCATGTGTGACAGCTCTGCCCTGACAGCCGGGGTACCCCAGCACTGGCTAGCGCATCGCCCCACACCTGAGCGATGTGACAGCTCTGCCCTGACAGCCGGGGTACCCCACCACTGGCTAGAGCGTCGCCCCACACCTGAGCAATGTGACAGCTCTGCCCTGACCTGGGATACCCCACCATCGGCTAGAGCATCGCCCCACACCTGAGCGATGTGACAGCTCTGCCCTGACAGCTGGGGTACCCCAGCACTGGCTGGAGCACCACCCCACACCTGAGCGATGCGACAGTCACATGGATAAGGCAAACCATGGGCCTGGGAAAGTCCAGTGGGGAATGTGGTGCCACAGGTTACCCACTTTAAAATTCTAACTTAAGGCAGACCCATAGCCTAGTCGTTAAGGAAGCCAGAGCCCATGTGGCCAACTGTAGTTCAAATCCCAGCCCTGGCGGCTTGAAAAACCTGCTGCGTACGTGTGCTTGCAAGTCCAAAACATCGACAAGATGGAGAAATGGAAAAGAAGGGATTGTGGCGGGGCCACGCTGTGAGGATTTCCCTCTCTCTTTGGTAAGCTCACATACCCTCTAGCATTAAAAAAAAAAAAATCAGCCCTTTTTGCTATAAGGTGTGCGCACTTGCCAGACAGAGACAGAGAGTGGGGGAAAGTGAGAAATCACTCCCCAGGGGGGACGGTCACACCTCGGTCCCTTTTCCTCTACTCTCCTGTCAGGACTTTGGGCGCACATACACACGCCTGGTGTGGTTTCCAAGCCACTGTATCCGGATTCAAACTGCAGTCGGCCATGTGGGAGTCCAGTGCCTTAACCACCATGCCACCTGCCAGGACCCCACTCCCTGGTGTATTTTTCACGCTGCTGGATCTGGGGTTCGGTCCAACTACTTTAACCACCAAGCCGCAGGCTAGCTCTGCTTTCTGTCTTCAAGCTTCTCTAGTAAGACATCTTCCTCCACCAAAACTAGTCCCCCTGAGGTGCCCCAGTGGGCACCACAATGCCAAATGCAAAGCTCCTCGCAGAGTAGAAGATGCAGTCTTCCTGCCTCCAGGGCCCCACTCTCCGGTTCCTCCTGTCCAGAAGGCCTCTCCACGGAGTCTCCCTGTGGGTACTTGTCGTTGAGTACCGAGTGCCTAGGGCTCGGTCGTAGGTTCTTACCCTCTCTAGCCACGCTCTCCCCTGCAGGGACCTTATCTAGCTGCATGGCTTCCTCACCAACATGCTCACCACTGGCAGACGTTTGTCTTCGGCCTGGGCCTGCCCCCAATCCAACCTCGTCCGTTCAACTTCCTGCTCAGATCTCTACAAGGATGTCTAATTGACATCCCAGCCTTAACACCCCCAACACGCAGCTGTCATACTGTGCCATCCCTGTTGGCTTCCCTCATGGTTTTCTTCATCGAGCAAACTGCAACTCCTTTTTCCACTTGCTCAGGACAAAAACCTTGCAATCAATCACACCTCTATCCTTCCTGTCACGTTCCATGTCCAAACCGCCAGCAGATCTTACCGACACTATTTTCAAAATATTTGTAGAGTCTGACCACTTACCACCAACCCTTATCCATGTCTAAGCCGCCGTCCTTTCTCACCTGAATCATGACAAGCGTCTCCTAACTGATTTCGCTGCTTTTCACTCTTAACCACTAAGGTCCATTTTCAGCAACTGCAGCCAGAGCGATCCATTAAAACTCTCACTTAGGAGCCCGCTAGTGACGTGGTGGTTGAGGTGGGTCCCACAGGGCCAACTGCACAGTCTGAGTTCAGGACCAGTGTCTTTTTTTCTTTTTTTTGGAGAGGTTTCTGCCATAGGGCACGTGCGCTCGCCAGACAGACAGAGAGAGACAGAGGGACAGAAAGCAAGAAATCACCCCCAGGGGGATGGCCACGCCGCAATCCCTTCTCCTCCATTCTCCTCTCGGGATCTTGGGCACGCACGCACACGCGCCTGGCTTGAGTTTTAAGCCACCGGGTCCAGGACGCGAACCGCGGTTGACTACGTGGGAGTCCAGCGACATAGCCATTATGCTAACTGCTGGTCCCTAGGACCAGTGTCTTGAAAAATACCCCAGGTACGTGTGTATATGTGCCCCAAATCGCGAAGGGAGAGCGGAGGAGGAGACAGGATCGGGGTGTGACCACCCCGCATGGGGGCTGCTTTCTCACTTTCTCTCTCTCTGGCAAGCACAGGTGCCCTCTGGCAAATTACAAACAACAAACAAAAAACTAACTTGGTCCTAGCTGTGTCTACTCAAAACCTGAATAAATGCGGACGTGTCTGACTGCCCATAAGCCTGCTTGGTGGGGCATTCTGCGGTTTCTCCTCCCTCGCCTCCTAGCACATGTATGTGCAGGTGTGTGTGGGGAGAGCCGGAAATTATACCCATATGTATACTCTCCTGGCCCCGCAGTGGCTCACCTCCATTCCCATTCCTGTCTTCTATGTCTGTTTAATGTTTTCATTGCAGATTTGTCACTAACAAATAATAGCTTTGTCTGCTTACTCATCTATTTTCCAGTTTCTCTATTGGAAGGTGACCTTCTCAAGGACAGGAACTTTCTCTTTTTAAGGTTTTGCTATAGGGTGCATGTGGTTGCCAGGGGGTGGAGAGAGACAGTGGAAGGGAGAAAGAGGGAGAAAGAAAGTGAGAAATCACTCCCAGCGACTAGCCAGGCTGCAATCCCTTCTTCTCCATTCTCCTCTTGGGATTGTGGGCATGTACCCACACGCACCTGGAGTGATTTTCAAGTCACTGGGTCCAGGACTAGAACTGCGCAGTTGGTCATGTGGGTTTCATGAGTGAGAAAGATAAAAAAAAAAAGACAGTGAGAGGGACCAGCAGATAGTGTAATGGTTGCATTGCTGGACTCCCATGTAGTCGACCACAGTTTGAGTCCCGGACCCGGTAGCTTAAAGTCATGCCAGGCGCACGTGCGTGTCCAAGATCCCGAGAGGAGAATGGAGGAGGAGGGACTGTGGCATGGCCATTCCCCCGAGGGGTGATTTCTCGCTTTCTGTCTCTCTGT